CTGCATTGAATCTCGGGTTTGTCTCTGGCCCACCAAACAGGGTGGAGGCCTAGCTGAGGATTGGATTTAATTCAGGAGGAGTTTGGAGCAAACTTTCCAAACAATTTGTTTCTAAGGTAAAGGCGGAGGGCTTAGCCCACCGTTCCTGAGGCAAGGAAGTTGCCAGCTGGAGAAGCAACCCTGCCTTGGAAGGTGGCTTCTTGGCTGTCCATGCTAAGTGTTAGGGCCTGAGCCGATGGCGACTCTCATCCTGGTCACCACTTCTTTACCCTCCAACCAATGGTGGGTTCCTTCTGGTTCGGTCCGGTTCAGCCGAGCCGGTAGCGGTGACGATATGACGTCACTGAACCAGTTCTCCCCCTGACCTCCCACCCTCCCACGTTATTCTTACCTTTTATTTGGTCCCACCCCCAATCTATTGCTGCCTCCTGAGTCCCAGCTGATGACTAGAGGGAAAAAAACTTTTTAAACTCTTGCCACAGGGCTTCAAAGGGCCGCCCTACAGCTGATCAGTGTTAAAAGCAAACAAATGAGTTGGGTCGTAAGTGCGAGGACTGGTCGTAATTGCGAGGACCTTCCAGAAATGACTCTGACCAGCTAGCCATGCCCACCTAGTCACATGACCTCCAAGCCACACCCACAAAATAAGCCACGCCCACAGAACGGTAGTAAAAAAATTTAGAACCTACCCCTGTCTCCTACCATTGGGAAGGAGATACAGAAGCACAGCCAGCCACACAAACAGGCTGAAGAACAGTTTTTAATCCGTGGGCTGTCAGACTCCTGAATGCGAAATAACATCATAATTATTTAGTACGATGGACTTGCAGGGCCAGCGCAACACGTAACATGTTCACACTGGTGCAATAGGACTGGGTGTTTGTTAATATGATTTATTGTGTTAGGGATTTTCTGTCTTCACTGTGAGTTGTATTGTGTTGGGTGTGTGTGTGTGTGTGTGCAGGGGTGAAATCCAGCAGGTTCTGACAGGTTCTGGAGCCGGTAGTGGAAATTTTGAGCAGTTCGGAGAACCGGCAAATACCACCTTTGGCTGGCCCCAGAGTGGGGTGGGAATGGAGATTTTGCAATATCCTTCCCCCAGAGTGGGGTGGGAATGGAGATTTTGCAGTATCCTTCCCCTGCCATGCCCACCAAGCCACACCCACAGAACCGGTAGTAAAAAAATTTGGATTTCACCACTGGGGGGATGCACTGAAGGAGCTCCACCAATCTCATTGTACATATGTTGTGCAGTGACAATAAAGGTTGTTGTTGTTGTTGTTGTTGTTGTTGTTATTGGTTAATCTTTAGTGAGATTCACAGCCTTTGAGGCTGGTTAATAGCTCAGCAGCTCGAGTCCTAACCAAGGACCTAGGAACCGTTAAGGTATCGTTGGAGGATGTAAGCTGTTCTGAGTAAGGTGGTTTTTTGTAGAGTCAAAATGTTTAAGTCCGGCAAATTTAGAATTTCTAAATAGCGGGGTAGCCCTTTGGGTATTGCTCCAAGGGCTCCAATTACAATCGGGACAACACACGATGATGATGATGATGATGATGATGATGATGATGATGATGATGATTGACATAGGGCCTTCGGGATGTTGCAAGGGCCAAATTCCAGCCTCCTTTTGTTAATAGTAGCCATGCTAATTCTTCTGGGAAGTATGCAAAGTGGGTTCCCTATTTCTTTTGCTCCTAAGTATCTGGAGTTTCAAGGTATACTGCCTTCAATCTGGAGGTTCTATCAGGTGGATGATAAAATAGTGTCAACCCCCTTTTTTTTGTCAAAGGCCTTCTATCTGCTTTGGTTGTCCTTCCTAAAGATGAAAGGAGATGGCAGGATCTTCTTAGCAATTGCTACTTAGGCCCTTTTACTAGAGATGCTGGCTGTTAAATTTGTTTATGTGTGTGAGCACACATAGTTTGCATTTATAGCATGTGGCGTGGCTGGTGGTATGCCTCAAGTCGTCTGTGAGAATCTGGGACTTTAAAATCTAGAATTTCCTCGAAAGAGTGCCGAAACATTCCTACTGGATGTTTCTATCCTTGATGCAAGTTTGAAAATTGCCTTTCTAGGCAAATATAAACTGGACGGGATAGCTATTAAATCCAAAGCTTTATGAGATGAGGGGATACATACAATAGTCATCTGGAATTACTCCAAACTTAAGAGGCCCAATTTCAGTCTTGCCAATTTTGCAACAAATGGGACACCTGTAAATACAAAACGTGGCTTGATTTAAGATGATGATATTATATTTTCTTTATCGGCTTTCTCCTATTTGCCTATGGATGTATGAGGGTTTTTTTCCTAGCCTATCCTCAGAAAAATTTGGAAGAGCATTTGATTTGAGGTTAATATTCACCCTCTTCCATCATCTCCTGGTCCTTAACCAGCCTGGAGGAAGAAGCGACAAATTGTCCATCATGATGCATGTTTCATGTTCCACCCTCTATTAGACACTACAGATCTATTTTCTTTCTTCATCACTTTTATCTTTCCGTAGACACCTTCTGCTCCTTATTTTGGTTAAGAATTGTCCTCTGATTAGAATATCTTTTTCCAGGGAGATTCTTGCAGGTTTAACCACCCTGTGCCCCAAACCTGTCTCCCTGGACACTTGAACCTAATTTCTCACAAATGTCCCATATCCATTTATAGAAATTTATGAAATTGTATGGTTTATATCAGTAATGGCTAACCTTTTTGCCGTCGCATGCCAAAAGCGGGGGGAGCACGGGGAGTCATGCGTGTATGTGCCCACACCCATAATTCAATGCGCCACCCCCCCATGACCACCCACAGTCCCCCCACTTTTGGCACACGATGGCATGGTGGGCACGGTA